CAAATATAAAGCTTTATAATATTAAGTCAAGCTTACTTCAGTCGGGTTAGCATAGTCTTGCAATTAGTGACTAAGCATATTATATTATAGTTATAAAGATTATGGATTGTCCTTGAAAGAGGATATTATTACACGATGCAGTTAAATCTATTTTTTTCAAATGTTTATGATTCATTGTTTGAAAATTACCTTAAATTTCTTTTCTGTATTGAAATTCTGTTCACGAAAATTTTTCTAAGAATTACCCTAGATAGAGTTCACTGTTCTTAACTCGCTGTAAAAATATAGTAGCTTTTTGATGGTTTGAATACTCCATCAACGATACAGTACAGCATTCTATGTATATCAGCAACTAGCTTTAAATTATAGTTGACAGCGACATTACTTAGTTATGTGCATTTTCTGTCCTGATTTTGACAGTAGATTTCTGGTTGTCTCTGTTAAATGTATTTACACTGTGTCTAAACTTAAAACTTGTCTTTTGCTGAAAAACCATATGTTGACTTTGTTATTTTAAGTGTAAGAATAAAACTGTCATTCACATATACCCAGCATCTTTAAAAAGTTTCATATAATCAAAACAAAACTGAACTAAACTAATAGTAGAAATTGATGTCTTTATTATGGTACAGCTAAAATTCATCACTGTAAGCCATGAAAGTGCTTATCACATATCACAATATATTAATTATCATATTCATAAAACAAACCATGAACAATTTAACATCCATAATATTCATAATGACACTGAATAACTGAAAACTGTGTTTTCAAAATAAACATCCATGCAACAAAGGCTGTCTTTTTAACTTAAAATGTAATATCTAAATTTTTGTTTAAACACATCACACTGGTGGCTGCATACAGAAAATACAGGACATATTCACAAATTTTAATACAACCCTCAACAAAGAATTAACATACAAGTTGTTATTTGTCATCAAAATTTCAAAAGCCAGATATATACCATTCCATAATTTGTCAACAATTTCAATGGAACCATCATGATTTTTTTTAATTTGTTTTTCTTTTCCTTTGGGGAAATGAACAGGTGTAAGTAGATAAGGATACCCTGTCAGACTTTATCAGACATTTTGAATATTATGCTCCAATTCTGGATTATAATATTATAATGTACTATATACATGCTTAACAATATATTTTAAGTTTATACTACATTATTTTCATTCTTTTTCCATTACTGCTGTTGTTGAAGACTAATATGTAGACTTTATAACTGTATACATGATCAAATGTGTTGTTTGGATGACATTAGAAACACAAACCCTTAAATATGATGCTGTAAAACAATTTTATTTCTGACGCCATCTCTGGACATTCAGAAGTGGTAACCTAAACACATTAACTGCAAGACCACAATCAATATAATAAAATAAAAATATAATAACTTCAAAAATAAGTCCAAAAAAAATTCTTGTGTTTCTGAATATTTAAAATAACATTTTAGTCTAGCATCTTTCCCATGGTATATGTGGAAAAAATTGACACAATAAAGATATTTTCATGATCTGTGGTTGTATTTTTTCTTTGCATTTAATTTTTTTTCTTTGGATTGTATTCTTTTGACATAAAATAAAATGAGAAGAATTTTTATATTAAATGTATAAAGAGCAAAAATAATGCACACATACTTTTCTTCCTTATATCAAGAGACTAAAGTTCCAACTCCTGCAGGCATAGATAAATCTGGCTATTCTTTTGAAATTTCTTTTGGTGTTATTGCTCCTTATGTATTCAGGTATTTAAACATTCTTGGCTTTAAAGTTTTTGGATTTGAGCGTTCTGATCAAGGTAAATCCAAACAAGCATTTTGGATGCATCATTTATAAAAATTCGTAAGGGTTCCGCAGAAACCCAGTGTCTCGCCTACTTTTGCTGTTAGTCGCAGGCTCAACAACAATGGGGAAAAAATTATCAAAAATTTTCCTCTAGATACTATCTTTTGATTTTAAGAAGTTCTGTTCAAGTTTGGTAAATATCCAACTGCAGACTGTACGTAATGTTAACTGGAATAAAACTAAGTCCATTTATAAGTAATATACGGAAAAACAGGAAATACATTTTTACAAAATTTCCTTCTAGATACTATCTTATGATCACAAACAAGCTTCTGTCCAAGTGTGGTACAAATCCAGGATAGTTTAAGAAAGTTATTAAAATTTGAAAAACTTTAACCACTGAGTGAATGTTATGTTAAATGGCAGAAAAACTAAGTCCATATTTGAGTAAAATACGGATAAACAGGATTTTTTTTTTACAAAATTTTCTTCTGGATACTATCTTATGACCATAAACAAGCTTCTGTCCAAGTTTGGTTGAAATGCAGGATAGTTTAAGAAAGTTATTAAAATTTCAAAAACTTTAACCACAGAGTAAATATTTGTGGACGCCGCCAACGGAATGTAGGATCACTATGTCTCGCTTTTGCGACTTAAGTCGCAGGCTCAACAAAAATGACAACAACACTATATAAATTTCATGCATTTCCAGATTTGAGCTGTTAAACTTGTCATTGTATGTCATGAGATATTTTTAGCTGGATTCATTTTATATCCTTTATATTCACACAAAAACAAATTGTAAACAATATAAAAATAAAATGCTCCGCAGGGCGCAGCTTGATACGACCGCAGAGGTCGAACCCTGAACAGTTGGGGCAAGTATGGACACAACATTCAAGCTTGATACAGCTCTGAATTTGGATTGTGATTAAATATTTGACACAGCATAGGTTTCTGACACAGAATGAATGTGGTCTAAGAACTTAAAAATTTTAAATTGGACATTCAACTATTATGGTCCAATATCCAAAATCTAAATACATGGTTAGATTCAGCATATCAAAGAACCCCAAGAATTCAATTTTTGATGAAATCAAACAAAGTTTAATTTTGGACCCTTTTGACCTCAACGTGGACAAAGTTGATAATGGGGCCCAAAAATCAAAAATCTAAATACATGGTTAGATTCAGCATATCAAAGAACCCCATATATTCAATTTTTGTTGAAATCAAACAAAGTTTAATTTTGGACCCCAATTTGGACCAACTTGAAAACTGGGCCCATAATCAAAAATCTAAATACATGTTTAGATTCAGCATATCAAAGAATCCTTAGAATTCAATTTTTGTTAAAATCAAACTAAGTTTAATTTTGGACCCTTTGGACCTTAATGTAGACCAATTTGAAAACAGAACCAAAAATTAAGAATCTAAATACACGGTTAGATTCGGCATATCAAAGAACCCCAATAATTCAATTTTTGATGAAATCAAACAAAGTTTAATTTTGGACCCTTTGGACCTCAATGTGGACCAATTTAAAAACAGGGCCCAAAATCCAAAAACTTAATACACGGTTAGAATCAGCATATTAAAGAACCCCAAGAATTCAAGAATAAAACCCCATTGAAATTGTTCAAGAAATAAGCAATTTATACGAAGTATTTTCTTTTGTACAATACTGTGCAATTGAATATTTCTTGCTATTGCGCAATACTGTACAATTGACAATTTCTTGCTATTGCGCAATATTGTGCTATTGGATATTTCTTGCTATTGCACAATACTGTGCAATTGAAGATTTCTTGCTATTGCGCAATACTGTGCAATTGAAGATTTCTTGCTATTGTGCAATACTGTGCAATTGAAAATTTCTTGCTATTGCACAATACTTATTTTATAATAATTTACACATCCTGTTTGGTGTGTATCTCCTACCATATCGTTATTATTTGCTTTTAAATATAAAACAGAAATAACCAACTTAAAATGGAAAATTTTAAAAGAAAAAAAAAAGGAAAAAAAAAAACAAAAAAAAAACCCAAATTTTTTGAACCCCCTTATGATTCATCACCCCCAAACTCAATCCCAGCCTTCCCTTTGTGGTATGGTACCTTGCAGTACAATTTCAGAGAGATCCATACACTTGAACACAAGTTATTGTCTGGAAACTAGAAAAATGCTTATTTTTGGCCCCTTTTTGGCCCCTTATTCCTAAACGTTTTGGGCAATTACCCCCCAAATTAATCCCAGCATTTCCTGTGTGATATGGAACCTTGTGGTACAATTTCAGAGAGATCCATACACTTGAACACAAGTTATTGTCTGGAAACTAGAAAAATGCTTATTTTTGGCCCCTTTTTGGCCCCTTATTTCTAAACGTTTTGGGCAATTACCCCCAAACTCAATTCCAGCTTTCCCTTTGTGATATGGAACCTTGTAGTACAATTTCAGAAAGATCCATACACTTACACACAAGTTATTGTCATGAAACTAAAAAAATGCTTGTTTTTTGCCCCTTTTTTGGCCCCTAATTCCTAATATTTTGAGGCAATTACCCCCAAAATTAATCCCAGCATTCCCTGTGTGATATGGAACCTTGTGGTACAATGTCAGAGAGATCCATACACTAACACACAAGTTATGTCTGGAAGTTACAAAAATGCTTATTTTTGGCCCCTTTTTGGCCCCTAATTCCTTAACTGTTGGTACCATAACCCCCAAAATCAATCCCAACCTTCCTTTTGTGGTATTGAACCTTATGGTAAAATTTCATAGAGATCCATTCACTTAAACTAAAGTTAGAGTGCGAAAACCAATGTGTCTTCGGACGACGCCGGACGACGCCAGACGACGACGACGACGACGACGACGACGACGACGACGACGACGACGACGACGACGACGCCAACGTCATACCAATATACGACCAAAAAATTTTCAATTTTTGCGGTCGTATAATAAGCCTTTGCTTCACTTAACTGTACACTTTAATTCCTTCTTGCTGAAATACTAATAAATGCTTGTAATTGGTGTAAAATTATACATAGGTCAAAACTATTATTCCAAGTGTCCCATGTTTTCATTTCTTTCAATAAAAAGACATCAGATTACAGCTCTTTTGAATTTTCTTGTAATCATAATAAGCATAGATCTCAATTTTGAGAAAAAGTTGTGTTCCGAACAATGTACTGTAAATACACAACAAATATTATATCTATTCACAATAAATATGATTGGTTTATAAATTATGACAAAGTGTAACAATGATATAAATATAAAGCTTGTGATATGGAATGTATACCATACACAGAATAGATGATTTATATATATAATGACAACCTTACTACAGAGATCTATACACTTTATACTTCTTCACTAAAAGGATTGGAATATGTAGTCTCACTTGTCCAAAAGATGTTCACAGTCATATATTACATTGCCTGAGGACAGTCGGGGATAAATATATGCATGCAACACTAACTATTTAACACTGATACCTGAAGCTAACAATTATTTTCCAAAATAAAAATTTTTGCTCCACACAATATTTTTTTGTACAATTTCAACTCTAAGAAAATGAACATTAAGAAAAAGGTCTTGGTAACTAATTAAAATGTTCAAACTAAGCAATGATAAATACAATGGATAACTGCTCTATGTACACAACAATGGAAGCAAATATTGTTTATACAACTACACATACACATTACACAATAATGGTTTTGTTTCTAGTATAGAATGAGTTCATTTATTTACTGAGAGATGTATTAAATAAGCAATTAAATGTATATATATTTTATCTCTTTGTTTTATATTAATGGCAAAAGTTGTATTTGCTTTTCAAAGAAAATGAACAAACTTTATCTCCTGTTACAAAAGTTTTGCTAATGCAAATTATCTATGCATTATCATTTAATACATATTTCGGTCAAAATTTGATGGCTTTACAACTGATAGAAACTGATATACTATTAATAATCATAAAGTCTGCAGCAATGTTAAAATAACTTTTAAAGAAAATACCTTTATCACAGTTATAACTTATAAAATTAAGTTAATTCACTATAACATACACAAATGATACATGTACTATATTTCCAAGCTGACAAAGGGATCTCATTACCACTAGGGAGAGGTAGAATGTACCTACAACAATACAAAAAATATCTGTTTGTCATGCAAGCCAAAGCAAAGCCAGTGACAGAAAATAGGCACCCTTTGTCAAAATATTATAAAAAACAAATCATTTAACTACTCAGTTTCATAAAAAAATAAGTCTGGATATCAAATCCGCATATACAAAATCATTGGCACAAATGAAAGCTGAACACTCACACACTGATAATACTTGGTACAAAATCACTTTGGTCACTTCGTTTCAATTCTCCAGGCACTCTGGCTTCTCCACCGATAAAAACTAACCACCATGAAATAGGCAATAAAGTGCTGTGTTCAACACAAACAATCAATCATTCTAATTCTAGCATTGCCTACAAATCCAGCAACTTATTTTGGAATGAGATCACGAAACTAAAACTTTTGGCCATACCATGCACAGTCAAGTTTATATAATCGACCATTCCCGTTCATAAAAATTATCATTTTACACAATTTGAAAATGTTGATAGAAGATGTGGTATAATGAGATAACTTTCCACCAGAGAACAAATGATGTAGAAGTAAGAAACTATAAGTCACTGTAGGGCCTCTGGTTGTAATATTCTGGTGATGATTACACTGATAAAGATTAATAAACAAAATTAGAAACTGTTTAAATTTAATACATCAAAAAATAGGATAAACAGGTGAAATAAATTTAAAAAAAATTTCTTCCAAATGAATATGTTTCAACTAATTATGTTTAATTTTACCATGTTTACCTCAGGAGAAATTTTTTTTCCAAAGATATAAACTATGTTGTTTATTAGAAACAAACTTTTGTCTTCTAATTTGTGAAGGAGAAAAATAGACCTGACCAAAGTAATTTTAACCATAAATCTGAGCAAATACATGCAAAATTTCAAATCATATAAAAGCTAGAAAAATTGTAACACAATAAGTTTTGATTAGAAAAAAACACAAATAATATATTTTATGATGATGGAATAAATATTTCTGACAACTAAAATGGCCTTAATATATTGATGATATATTAAAATTGAAAAAATTAAAGTAACATATTGCAGGAAATATTTTAAGAGTTTCATTTATTAGATAAAGACTCTTAGTGATACAGTACAAACAATATTATATATGAAATTAAACATGATAAATAAATGACTTTATTACACAGAGAACAGTGTTTAAAATGGAGCTTCATTTTCTATGCATTTACAGTAATAAAAATACCACAGTTGGTTTTGAGTAAGTACTATAATGGTGACAGTTCTGTACTACATCCACGAGAAACAGCATTTGCATTGTCCCTCATGTATGGTCCAACTTCTGCTTCTGCTAATGGAAAGTTGACTAGTGGAGTGTCATGGAAAACTGGTGGTTGAACTGAAAAAGATGTATTTCAAGTCAATATTAAAAATACTATCAAAAAATAATAATAAATGATTTAAAACCTATGTCATTTCTAGACAATACTACATGTGACTAAAACTAAATAGAGAATGGTAGAATGAATGATTGATTGATAAATAATTGGATTATTCCCACTTTAAAACACCAGAATTTGAGCCCAGCTTTTAGGTCGGTTAGTGTTGCTCATCCCTTAGTTTTCTGTGCGATGTTTTTTTTTTAAATTTTAGAATGCAATGACTAATTTGTGACAAAAATTAGTACAGTAGGTTAAAGTAACTAGAGGCTCTCAAGAGCCTGTGTTGCTCACCTGTATCTACTTACTGTTGTTTTGGAAATCATGTAAAATAAGGTTAAAATCATAATTAATAGTATTAGATACCCTATAAATAATTATTGAGGCCAAGTTTGGTTTAATATGGCCCAGTAGTTAAATTAAAAGCAGGTCATCCCATTGTAGTCCTACAATAGTTACTGAAGACCCCTTATCATTGTTTAAATAAGTTTTCAAGTTGTGACCATTTGAAATTGTTTTTTTTACAATTTTCCCTTAGACTTCTATAGTAAACCCCTATTTTCAATTTTTAGCCATGGCGGCCATGTTGGTTGGATGACACGGTCATCGGATATATTTTTCAATCAAGATACCCTATTGCAAATTGTGGCCAAGTTTAATTCTATTTGGCCCAGTAGATTAAGGGGAGAAGATTTTTGTAAAAGATTACAAAAATTTACGAAAAATTGACTATAAAGGGCAATAATTCCTTAATGGGTCAATTGACAATTTTGATCACTTGACTTATTTGTAGATCGTACTTTGCTGAACATTATTGCTGTTTACAGTTTATCTCTATCTATAATAATATTTAAGATAATAACCAAAAACTGCAAAATTTCCTTAAAATTACCAATTCAGGGGCAGCAACCCAACAACGGGTTGTCTGATTCCATTGGGCCAGGTGAGCTAAAAAGTAGCAATTTTGCTACGTTCATTTAAAGATTTAAAGAATTCAAAGCTTAAACTGTATAAATAAATGAACAACTGTATGACCATGAGGTGTTTAAATCCTAGACCCTCAGAGGCCCTTGTGGGAGTCACTATCCTAGATTTGGTAAAAATTAAAAAACTAATGAATTATCTCCCTGTCCATGTGTTTAGGTAGATCAGATAGATGCATGCAGCAAACACTACTTTCTGCAACTTGTGTAATGTTTTCCTTGAAACATATACAGTCGACTCTCGTTATCTCGAAGTCAGCCGGACCAGAGAAATATTTCGAGATACACGTAGTTCGACTCAAACGAACTGAAAATCTGTGACCATTATAAATAAATAACCTGACATGGACATGTTTTGGATTAAAAGAATATTCACTTCACAGACTGGGAGAACACTTTATAAGTTTCATCCCTTTTGTATATTAAAGTAAATAAAAATATGTTTAACTTCACTTCACAGAACTATGCTGTGTGAACCCACAAAATACAGGTCGAGACGAGTTTGAAATTTAGCTAACTAGCCAATGACTTAAGGGGTTACATTGCACTTTGTTCAATCCATACCCCAAAAATATATGTAATAATTCATCACCACTGATGACTACACTTAAGGAACAAACAGTTCATCAGCAATGACATTAAGCTGAAGAAAAAAATATTGATTTCAAATCTAGTGAGAAAAAAATCAACCAGGACAAAACTCACGACATGATCTACAACAGGTCTGGATACTAAAAATCAGGTCAATGTCTTTAAAAAACTTGAAGACTTTTGGGAAAGGGAATTAGGACAGTCAATACAGCAAAGGGAGAGTACAGTCCCCTCAGCTTTGCTAGTTTTTCCTGCAGCTTTGTCAGTAAAGACAGCTTGTAATCAGTCTATGTATTTTTGAACAAATTATTCTTATGCAGACAGCATTCAGCTAAAATGATCATTCTTGGACTTATTCAGACTGATTTTTAATATAGAATTGAATAAAATAAAAAATAACATCTGTCATTTCTTTTCAATCAAAGCTATTGTTTTTGGGCCAAAACTCTGAACTTGAGATAAAATTAAGAATGGAAATGGGGAATGTGTCAAAGAGACAACAACCCGACCATAGAACAGACAACAGCAGAAGGTCACCAACAGGTCTTCAATGCAGCGAGAAATTCCATATTCCCTTTTATATAATTAAATCAGTAAAATAAGTTATAAGTGAAAATCAATAATATATATTTAAATAAAAGAAGAATGTGTCCATATGACACAGATGCCCCTGCTTGTAAATATGTGGCAAATTTAGCAATTTTTCCATTTATAAAGGGACATAACTCTAGTACAACGAAAGTGACGCCACCCAAATTCAAACTTGATCTGTGTTTGGTGGTATTAGGCATTGTGTATCAGTTTCATAACATTTGGTTGAGGCAAACTAAAGTTAGAGAACGGAAACTAATTTTGGAAGATATGGACGGACGTACAGACAGACAAGGGTAAAACTTAATGCCCCTCTGCCGCAACAGGGGCATAGGGCATGAAAATAAAAATATATAATGTGAATCTTCCATGAAGGTGTGTGCCACCTGTCATCTCAAATGATATCAGCAATTATGTCCATGTTTTAATATTGCACACCCCAAAAATCACTTGCACAAAATTTAAAACACCATATCCTGTAGAGGAATCTGTTAAAGTTTAGTGGAATTCTGTCAATTTATTTCAAGGGGTTAAAAACTAATAAAATGTGACATCAACAAGGACAAAAGAAGTGATCTCTGCTATGAAAATTACAGAAAAACTGCATGGACAAACACTCAATAAATTTCTCCTTTCTTGGAAACCATTAACCTCATAATAACACTTAGCCTCAGTTTATAAGGTTCAGTCAAAGTTGCAGATGTATCACAGGAAACAATACATGCAGAGATATGGGACTCTTTACAGATGACAAAACATACCCATATAGTCAAGAAAAAAATAAAATGACTAGAACTAGCATATAACAATTAAATAAAGCAGGTGCAAACTTCTAACGGACAGAATTCAAAACCATAAAGTCTCACTTATCAGTTATTCTGTATAATTTCTTCATATAAGATGTCAAAATCAAGTGACATTAAATATAAAATAAATGAAGATTAAACTCTAAGCACATTACTTTGATAACAATTTTACAGCACCTATACCTATTGGCTATTACTACCAAAACATATCTTTGATCTATGTGAACATAAATCATACAAGTTTTTACATAACTATATATGTACTACATGTAGAGAAACCTTAATCAATAATCTAAATATCCTTCCAGGAAACTATGTTTTAGATGCATAACTATTAACTAACAGTAAAACTAAACTTCAAACGAACAATATATCTCAATTTTCAACATTTTAATATGAGGTTAACCAGATTTCATGTACCTTTATAAAATTATTGTTACAGGCACAGACCATCATCATCAAAACCTATGTCATCATTATTCATAGCCAATGAATTGTTCTCTATAAATGCTTACTGTAATATATTGTTATATTTTCATATTGTATTATCATGATTATGGAGAAGTATAAATATGTTTTACATATTACATGTGATTAATTCATTTTTCTTAAAGTGGTCAGGTAAAATATGTTTGCACAAAACTGGTTATATATACAAAATCAATATCATATCCCTGTAAAAATTTATAGCTTGGATTTCCTATAAAATACTCTCTATCAAAGACAAAGGATGTGAAAATGAAAATCTACAGCCTTACAGCTTTAACAAAATTGCTAGCTACAACATTATGCATATCAAAGACAATTTGGAACCAAATTTCCTTAAATTGATTTTTATGATATTTTCCATCAGACTGAGTACCAGGATTTATTATGAGATGGGTTGAAAGAATCAAAGTGCTTGTTAGCACTGAAGGGTAAAGTTTGCTTTAATTTATCAGTGGGAGGTCAAATTAAACATTGCATTGTATAAAGCATTGGTTGTAGTTGATTTAACAATTATGGACAAAGGAAAATAACTCCAATTATAAAGATTACTTTAACAATGATTAGAACAAATATTAGAGAATGATTGAAATTCAAATTAACAGTTTGGAAAGCCAAAATAAAACCCAAAAAAAACCAAAAGGCCTTAGCCGAACTGTCAAACTAAGGTCAAATTTGCTTGAGGGAGTTGAGACCTTAGCTTTGGCACAACTGAATAATTTTAATGAACTTAATATTTACAGATAAAATATATCATTGAATTATGCCATTGCAGAAGAACTGGATACATGGTGGATTGTACCCTATGGGTGATAGTCTACCAGAAGCAGTACTAACATAGGGGTGGTAAAAAACAAGGAGGTAGGATATAGCCATTTTTTAACCACCTAGGATTTGAAAATTATAAGTATCAAAAATCTTTAAAATAGAATTCTTCAGATGTTCACCAGACATTAGTCATATGTCAGGATGTCAAACTTCTATCATTTAATGAAAAACTGCTTAAATGCCCTTATTCTGAAAATCTTGTCATCGATATTAAGCCTTACCAAAGAAGATATTTTTCTTCATGATATCTTATACAAATTTGTTGATTTAGGTTAAATATCTTTACAGGAAAGGTTGTGGCTTATATTAAATTTTCCCAAACCTATGACTATTCAATAATATTGTCCTTTTTAGGCATAATAGGTATATTTCAATATGTTTATGAGGCCAAATTGACAGTTCCTATTCTATATTATAAAAAAAAAAGTTATTTGAAATAGATTGAAGAATTTCACTACTATTGTAATTTCAAAGGCTATATAATGGCTCTTATCATATATACGTTGTACTTATGTAAAAATTTCATTATTGAAATATATTTGTATCAAAGTAGGCAAATATTGTTAAAACTTTGCTAAATTTCACATTACTTGAGGTGCATATGACCTGACCAAATGTAATGCAAATGTTTATTGAGACATCAATAATTAGGATTTATTTTCATAAAATAGGTAC